CCCCCCCCCCCCCTTTTTTTTTTTTTTTTTTTGCATGCAAAGAATGAAGATAGTAAGAAGCATCCAAACAAAGTTTATGTCACTGAACTGGCTCTATTGTGATTATGAATCTAGGACCAAGGCCCAGCTCTGGAAGCATATTAATAAAAACACTGGGTGTGTGTTGGTTGCGGTTAACGTTTCTGGAACACTGCAGAATGGCACTGATCCCACCTAAGATCAAGACTGACACCAGCATACACAGGTGACAACTAAAAGCAGGCTTATTTACTAACATGTACAAACTGGATTAGTTAGCAAGTAGCTTGCCATACAAAAAGGCAAGTGTCAGAAGACAGACACCCTTAGAAAAAAATCTGTTACAAGACTGAGACCTACCCCTTGCCACCATATAATTTAAACTTTTTTTTTCCTTGGCACTTCTGTAAGGACAAACAATGACAACAACACAGTACATGTTCCTGACAGAATGCAACATTCTCTCTACGCTCATCAAAACTGAAAAGCACAAGCTAGAATATGCCCTGGGCAGCAGCATCTCTCAAGAGCACTTACTGTTCATAGCTGGAGATCACATTCCAGCAAGCAGTTTGGGAAGGCATCAAGCCATAATCAAAGCAGGCCTGACCATTCTGTACGGGAACCGCAACTCCACATTTTTTAGTTTCCAACATTTGTGTTTCCCAAATTAAACTCATGTTCTTGTAGGACGAGGAGCAACTCGCCATTTCTCATGTTCTATTAAAGACAATGCCTGGCTCCATTTTGCCTAACATTGTCACTCTTCCACTTGTTAAACAGCTGAAGGAGTACCTTCCTGCTGTCTGACATGCTGCCCATCACGTAGGGGAGAATTTCCTTGTTCTCTTCAACTCTTTTGTACCGGGACACCTACAAAAAAAGAACTTGACAATGCTTGGATAGCATAATGAAGCTACTGCCTATCACCCTTGTTTCTGTCTCCACTATTGGATTGGGCTCCCTGCTCTTTTCTCCTGCTTAAGACTGCAGGTTGGGACCCTCTTTTTGTAGGCACTTTCGTAGCGCATTGTACGTAGAACAGGACACGATTCTGCAACTTGGCACCTAGGCATCACAGCAGTAACAGCATCAACTCAGCTCAAGGCCAGGAACATTAACTTAGTGGTAAAGAAGGGTTTATCTTCCATTTGTTTGGGAGGTTTGTTTTTTTTAAGAGGGCGAGGGAAGCGGAGTTTGTGGTGGGAAGGGTTGGGGTTTTTTTAACATGATTACTTACTGTAACATGTTAGTTACAGGTGGGCAGCCTCAGAAAATGGCAAATGTGCAATCTAATGTTTATGCATAAACAGCCCTTCTCTTATGCAGAGCTGTTGTACCCTACTTCCAAGGAAAGAGTGATTTACGAAAGTAACTTTACATGACAACTCATTTCCATTGCATGGGATCACTTTCCTATGATCTTAAACAACGGGAAAGAAGAGGCCATTTCACTAAAGCAGACAAGCCTTAATGGTAAATAGTTTGTTTTTACCTGTGGTTACAAAGTAAAGTTTTACTGACTCAGCAAAGCCGTATATAGTCTACATTAGTCTTCTACATGGTGGACTATGCCACATAGTCATTTTTAGGCTTTCATTTGGAGCCTGATAAACAAAAAGCTCAGGGACTGACCTAAAAATATTTTCAGGGAGACTTTTTGTAGCTTAACACCATCACTACAGCCAGCAGTGAGGCTACAAGACAACTTTATTTTCAGGCCACATCACTTGGTTGGATCAGCAAGGCACACATGATCGAGTTTATTATTTCAATGATTTTTTTTATACAGATCATGGAACTTGGTTCACACTTTTTTTTTGTCTGTTTCCTACAAAGTCTGACTGTGAAGGCCAAAAACTTACTCATAAGGGGAACACTGCGGCAAGTTCTGCCTAAGTACTGCACGTTTGCTGTATCCCAAAACAACTGTGAGCTAAAAAAAAAAAGAGACACAAAAGTGCAAGAGAAAGAAATTCAAGGAGGGTTACGGCAGAAAAGTTTTTTCAGGGGCAACTTCAGAAGAGAAGCAGATACAGGACAGCGCTCTTACGGGGAGCAGAGTCTGACACAATCTCATTGTACAGGAGGCACAAGATGGGGCAGGGAGGAGGTCAGCTGCAAAGGAGCAGAGAGGGCAGAGGGTAACACAGACACACCACAGGGCAGCACAGGCCACTCCTGAGCCACAGCCTTCAGTGGCAACTACCAGGAGATGAGGACGTGGAAGCTGCTGCCACGTTTCCCTAGACCAGAAACATGGACAGCAACCCCACCCCCCCACAACCCTCCCACGGACAGACCGCTGTGGCACCCACTCCCCAGTCCAGTTGCTGCAGAGCCAGGCCTGCCTGCTGCCCCTTGCCCCCCACAGCGTGACAGAGGCAGAGGC